TTTTCTATGCCATTAAAGAGATATCATACAGAGTCCATAAAATTTTGCAATGGATGCGGACCATCTTGTTCATTTCATGAGAAGAAGTGGTAAACATCCAGGTACGATGCTATGTGAATTGATATTTCGTGGTCTTAAAAAGTCTCATAATGAGAAACTTTTTTAAAACCTAATTATACTCCTTCCTTAAGTATAAAATATAAAGAAGACGTGATTCTCTATTGATTGACTAAAAGCAATCGTATATTTATTTATGGGTTCTATAAAATATCTTTGAATTTGCAAGACCATCGAAAATCAATGGGAAAAATGCATGCTACTTAAGTAGTCATTTTCAACCGAGTACGCTTTCTATAGGAGATTGAAAAGAAGTGCATTTAAAAGCCGACATCCTGCTGAGTCGGAAATGTTATAAGAGTATGCCGCAAGATAGTCAGTATTACAACCGCGACCAAGCAATCCTTCCTAATCGAAAACGCATTTCAAATTTTCAGCCAACATTTCCTGAGTTAGGTAACTCACTGTAGGAGATAACGCGGACTTCATGGGGAACTGAATACACACATAGTGCAAAGTCATAGAACAGATGATGAAAAGCTGGGCATCTCCCTGCCATGTCTTGGACCGGAAATTTCGCAGGATGTAGGTCTGGAGTTTTGGCTGATGGCATCCCCAGACAAATGAGTTCCTAATTAGTTTAAAAACTTCCGACAGTTCTTTTACCGTAATTAATGAGGACCAAATTGACGACGGAGGACTCTTTTGTCAGGCGGAAAATTATTCCGTCGGGGAGTTTGCCAAAACACGCGAGCCATAGCCCCCCGGTGTCCCACACACCCAACTACCTCGCGCCTCGGTGTACAGTGGTTTCAGTGGGCTACCTACTGGGGGAAAATGTCTAACTTCAAACGTAGACGTCCTCACCTACTCCTCTGGCATATGGGTTTGCAGTTTCGGGATTGTGTCGGACGGCAAGCAAAGCCTTACTGAATGGCGGACAACATTCACCATGCCATAACTCTGTTTTGGTCTGGGACCTTTTCAGAAGTAATCGATTTACCAGACCGGTGTCTGGCCACGCCCGACGATATTGCCACTCTATGATCCGCGACTGTTACTCGTCAGATCCGAGGTCTGCTTACTTCGTACCCATCTGGCACTGAAAGCCGTTCCATTATCCTCCATCATTTGACTCGTTGGGTAGCTCAGAGCTAGGCTAACAAACAAGGTGCGCCTGTCCCGGATTCCCATCATCCCGGCAACGATGACTATTTTATGGGTGATGAATAATTTATCGATCGGCCAACAGTCCCGACCTTAATCCAATCGAAAATCTTTTTGGAATAGTCAAAAGAAATTGGCACAAAGCTAAGAAGACTCTTTCGATGCAGGAAAAATTGGATTTCATACTCAATAATTACAT